GGGGAGGAAGCATTTAAGAACTAGAGGAAAGTTGTATGTTTCATCGTTGCTACCCTGCACCCTGACTGGCTCATCTCCTCCCCAAGACCCTTCTGTAAGGGGGTGTCCAGTTGCCTACAGATGGGCTTTGGGTCCCCACTCCGCCCTCCCCCTCATTTACAATGATACGATTTTTTGTTCTTTGATGCCTGATCCCTGATCCCTTCGACACCTCGTGGTCACACAGGCTGGTGTGCTTCTTCCCTGTGGGCTTTGTAGCCAGCCCCCTTTACTTCTGTGTTGGCATTTCTTTCCAAGGCCACTCTGAAGCTGCTGGAGTGGTTGGATTCTCCCAATGGGCGAGGCTGTTGTGGCTTGAGGAATCTCACAGGGCGTTTTTGCCACAATCAGCATCAGTGGAAATGTCCTGACTTCCTGCTGGTGGCTCTGAGAGGTGACTAAAAAATGGGCTCGCTGGGGGGACTAGTTTGTGTCTTCCCCTAGTGCTGGAACGGTGCCAGTGCCTGTGCTGTTAGGATCTGTCTCTCTCGTGGCATCCGTGCTCGCTGGTAAAACGATGAGCCCATCGATCGGGTTGCTGCTTTCCTGCTCATGATCATCCTCATTATCAGCAGGACTGCTTCCTCGCCGTGCAAAATATGCAAACACGTACAAGAGTCGGAGGGAAGGGAAGAGAGCACAAGGAAGGGGGCAAAGGAGGGAGAGGAGAGGAAGTATATATGCAGAGTAGAAAGGTCTTTAACTGAGGTCGTGCATGCAATACCATGCTATGCTTGCTTTCTTTAGCTTGACCTGATACGACAAGCTTTCCACCCTTTTGCTCAAAAGCCTTTGAAAAGGACCTTTTTAAAAATCGCATCAGACGTTTAGGTTGTTTCTTTACTCATGTAAACAGCGATTCAGTAGACATGCAGATTTATTATCTTTGTCTGCATTTCACACATTCATCTTCCTCGGTATGAGAGAGTTTTGGAAGTAGAAGCCCGTGGCAAAATGTATGAAGATTTTAACGGCTTTCTTCTCCTCTCCATGTGGCCATGGAGCTTTCCAGAGCATTCTGACAGCTTGTCCTCTATCCACTGTTGAGCGAGAGTGCCCGCCCGCCCACCCTCCTGTCCAGCAGCACGCCGGAGCGGATGTTATTTTTGTCCACTTGTCTCTGATGATCAGTGAGAAGGAATGATCATGCCATTTTGGAGGGAAATTAATTTGTACTCTGTTTAGAAATGTCTGCTTAACGGACTTCGTGTGCATTCTTAGAAAGCTCCGTGATCTGTACATATATGATTGAGATTACTCCTTTGTCCTATTTATTCCCAAGTTTTAGCCATTTATGAGTTGCTATTGGTTTTATTAGGTGACAGTTTTATTAAGATATAATTCATGTCATATAATTCACTCACGCAAAGCACATATTTCAAAGACTTTGTATATTCACAAATGTAGATAGCCATTGCCACAACAAATTTGAGAATATGAGGAGGCTAAAGAAAATTTTGGGGAAAATTCCATTGTTTTAATTCCATTTTTCCATGATCTTTTCTAAGCTCCCGTGTGTTTTAACCTCAAAAGAGAGACCCCATCCTTTAAGTCATTGCCTTCTGCTCACTGCCCCCAACTCAGCCCCGGCCCTGAGATGCCGCCAGCCGACTCGATGGCTGCACGGATGTGTCTGCTTTCGCCCTTCATGGGCGTGGAACCATAGCTACGTCACCCTGTTTTTCCCCACTGAGCATGTTCTCTTTACTCATCTGTATTATAGCATGTACCAGCTCTCCAGTTCTCCTTTTCCCCCGAAATAATAGTCCATTCTACGGACAGAACACATTTAACTTACCTGTTCATCAGTTCAGAGGCATTGTGCTTGTTTCCATCTTTTGGGCATTCTGAATAATCCTGCTGTAAACATCTGGATTTCATTTTCAGTTTGTTGTTCTCTATGAAGGTTGTAAATTCTGGCTGTCTGGTCTATTGGTTGTTTAAATTGTGCTTTAAAATGAACAGATAAAAAAAATAAAATGAACAGATCTTTTAAGTTGTTGAAGACGGACAAATCTCCTCCCAAATGATTCCTCAGACACTGCCAGTGATTCGCTGCTGACCCAGCAGCCCTGCGGGACAGGGGAGAGCTGCCCTTGTGAGTTTCCAAGACTAGAACTCCTTTTTTTAAAAAAAAAAATCATTTTGTTGGGGGCTCATACAATTCTTATCACAATCCATCCATACATCCATTGTGTCAAGCATTTGTACATTTGTTGGCATCATCATTCTCAAAGCATTTGCTTTCTATTTGAGCCCTTGATATCAGCTCCTCATGTCCCCACCTCCCTCCCCGCTCCTCTCTCCCTCATGAACCCTTGATAATTTATAAATTATTATTATTTTGTCATATCTTACACTGTCCGCTGTCTCCCTTCACCCACTTTTCTGTTGTCCGTCCCGCAGGGAGGAGGTTATATGTAGATCCCTATAGTCAGTTCCCCCTTTCTACCCCACTCTCCCTCTACCCTCCCGGTATGGCCACTGGTATGGCCACTCTCGCCACTGGTCCTGAAGGGATCACCCGTCCTGGATTCCCTGTGTTTCCAGTTCCTATCTGTACCAGTGTCCATCCTCTGGTCTAGCCAGACTTGTAAGGTAGAATTGGGTTCATGATAGTGAGGGGAGGAAGCATTTAAGAACTAGAGGAAAGTTGTATGTTTCATCGTTGATACCCTGCACCCTGACTGGCTAGACTCCTCCCCAAGACCCTCTATAAGTAGGTGTCCAGTTGCCTACAGATGGGCTTTGGGTCTCCACTCTGCACTTCCCCTCATTTACAATGATATGATATTTTTGTCGAACTCCTTTTTAAAAAAAATCATATTATTGGGGGCCCATACAACTGTTATCATAATCCATCCATCCATCCATTGTGTCAAGCACATTTGTACATTTGTTGCCATCATCATTCCCAAAACATTCGCTGTCTACTTGAGCCCTTGGTATCAGCTCCTCGTTTTTTCCCCTCCCTTCCCGTTCCCCCCTCCCTCAAGAACCCTTGACAATTTATAAATTATTATTATTTGGTCATGCCGCGACTGCAACTCTTTCTGGCAATCAAAAGCCCCGTCTTTCTCCCTTGGAGCAGCTCGTGGTTTCAAACTGCTGACCTTGCAGTTAGCAGCCCAATTTGTAACCACTACACCAGGGCTCCTATTTCCTCATTAGGTCCTCATTAATGAATTCCCGAGTCCCTCTCTTCCGCTTCCAGTTGGTTGCCGTTCAAACCCGCTTCCTGTACAAACAAATATACAAACAAATGTCTGGCGATGTGTGGGCCTTTTCTGGGATGAAACACGCGTGCCCGTTCTTTTCTCTTCTGTCGTCAATCGGAGCGCCCTTTCTTTCCCAGATTCCGGCTGTGACTCAGTCACCGACACCGAGACCGAGGACGACAAGGTCCTTCCCTGCCCGAAGCAGCAGAACCTGCCGCCGGAGAAGCCGTCTGGGAACCTGATGGTGGTGCAGCCAGACCGCATCCGCTGTGGGGTAGGCGTCCTGGGGCCCTGGCAAGTAGCCATCAGAGCAGGATGCTTTTGAATGGATGCAGTTTGTAAGCACAGGGAGTGGGATTTTCATGTTGCACGCAGCCTTCCCTTGAGGCCTCTCCTGTGTTCTACTTGCCCTGGAACCCCATTACCTGGACCTTGGACATGTTTAACGCCTTCCAGTCAGAGAGAGATGAGAGCAGGAGGGTTGCTATCAGTAAGCTGAGAGGCCCCCCCACCTACCTTCATGGAGCAAAGAATATAGAATATCTGGGTGGGAAACCAGTGGGTCCAAAGCATGACTAGACACTTGTACCAACTCTGGAGTTGGAGGCCTGGGTCTGTTCCTGCTAGCCTTTCCACGCTGGGTTCCTGATGGCCATCCCCACTTTCCTAGCTCGGTAAGGAAGGAGATGCTGGGACCCTAAGCGATGGCTTCCCATGAGCCAGCCATCGCTGAGTGCCCTGCAGCCTGATGGGGGAGACTTGATGGCCATTATTACCTGTTACAGGGATCAGATAGAGGCATAGGCCTCGTACTACTAAAACTTTCAGGGGAGGGCTGTGGTCTAACAGGTAACTTGAATGTGATGGATCAGCTGATGCCACCACTGTCCCTTCACTCCCACCGGAGTATTTCTAGTTTTTTCCATTGTCCTACCTCTCCTGAGGAGAACGGCGTGGTGCTTATGCCAGCTCAGAGCAAACATCGACTTCCCACTGCGCGTGGCAAACTTAAATCCGAGCAGGGAGTGGAGCGGTGGACCCTGGAAGTGCTGGCCTCCCTCCCTGTCATTGGGAGCAGTTTCCTTCAGCTTGAAGCCACGGGGTGCGGACAAGGCCTTCCTACATTGGGTTTACAAATTAATGCTTTGGGCTGGGTTTGATGCATAGACTGGATTGGTTTGGGCTAAAGAGTATTTTTTAAAATTATGGACTCTGGGAAATGAAGGGACTCACTACAAAAGCAGGCTTGGTGGCAGCTTGCCGCTGTTGAAGGTGGAGGGACAGAAGTGGCACAGGGCCGTGATTGGAATCTATAAACAAGCCGGTTAGCAAGGCTTGCAGGATTGGTTCCGGGCCTTCATCCATCTGTCTACATGGTGGTTGGGTCATGCCTCATGACCCTGTGGCCCTGAGGCCTAGCCCCTAGGTTGGTTCCCGATTTCCCCAGCAAACCTGAGAGTCAGGCTGCCCTTCCCCGGGCTGTCATCTACTGTAATAATGCACACTCTCTGCCTAAGGCAAAAGCTGCCACATCGCTGGTTAATGGTCAGAAATCACTCAGAGGCTGGATTTATGGCTCGACGTGACATGGATTAGGACTCCCACTCCGAACCGCGCAGCCTTCCACAAACCAAGTGTCTTAGAACTGAAGCTCTAGTACCCGGTCCAGACTGCCAGGAGAGGAGAGCCACTCCTTCTGTCTGGCCTCCTAAGATTCCTGGAGAAGCAGCAGGCAGGTCCCGGCTTGACCTACATCCGGAGTGATGACACCCCAGACCCGCCCATTCTCAGCCTCACCAGACCCCATCCACCTGGTGTCAAATCCCCGCTGGCCATCTCCTCCTCCTGTGCCTGTCACGCAGGACGACTGTGAGGACATTAGGGCAGAATCTTAGGATGACTATCCAGAGATCAGCGAGGGCCAGAAAGCGCTCCTTTTTCCTGTTTTAGGAGTCCCAGTGGAACTGTGAATCAGGCATTGGGCCACTAACTGCAGGACCACTAGTTCAAACCTACCTGCCACTCCTTGGAAGAAAGTTGAGGTGGCTGTTTGCTTCTGTGCAGATTTCCAGTCTCAGAAACCCTATGTGGGGTTGCTAGTGAGTTACATACAGTCAACAAGATGGCAGTGCAAGGCGGGTTCTGTCCCTCGTTACCAGGGGCCCTGGCGGTGCTGTGATTCAGCACTTGCCTGATAACCAAAGGGGAGCGCTTTGAAGCCCCAGCTGCTCCAGGGAGGAAGGTGCGGCCGTGCAGAATGGAGAAGACCCGTTTGGAGCTGAGTCAGCACAAGAAAGCAAAACCATTCCATTTGGCAGACTTGGCAAGAGAATCCCGAAGCAAGGGGAAGCAGTCCCGTTGCTCGGTGTCTCCAAGTCCTGGGGAAAAGGAATTCCCCAGGACCTTCTTTGTGTTCAGCCGAGAAGAACTAAGGGCTGGCCCAGAGGTCTCCGACCTCTCCCGCACTCCCAGGGTGCGCTCAGAGTTCGCTGGGAGGAGCGTCCGCCTCAGAACAACCAAAGGGCAGAGACAAAATTTGTAGACAGGCAGGGGAGGGAAAGGGGGCAAATGGAAATGGGTGACACAGGGAGGAAGTGGGGCGAGCATTGTTACATTGGAGCGGATTGCCACCAGTGTCATGAGGCAAAGTCGTGTAAATGGTCGGATGGGAAACGGATTTGCTCTGTACACTTGCTTCCAAACCCCAATGGACTGGACTGTAAAGATAACCTGGGGGACCTTGTTCAGGGGCAGACCTGGGACCTGAGCTTGTTCTCAGCAGGCCTGGACGGGGCCTAACCTTCTGCATTTCTAACACGCTCCGTGGCAAGCCAGTGCTGCCTAGATTACATTTTGAGGAGCAAGGCTAGTTAGTCTAGAATAGTGCTCTTAGCAGTAGTAAAGAGCTTCCCAACCCAACACCCCCTCCCCCAATTCTGCCATGGAACAATGCCTTTCTAAAATACCTATAGTATTTATAGAATTGCTATAAAAACGTAATACAGAACCGTGCAAAATACAAGCCTTCGTGTTTTCTTCTTAGTAGATTCAGCAGCTTAAAGAAGACTCCGTTCAGGTGTCGAGAGGGTTTTGAATGTTTCCTCTCGAGACTGGGAGTGGGTGAGGGGAGGAGTGGACTGTGTCTCACTGGGGAGGGTAGAAGACTGTTGTTCTCTTCCCACCCCTGCACTGTGGAACCCACACGTGGGTCTAGGGCCCCAGGCCCAGCCCCCTCGTAGGAGCGGAGGGGACAGTGACTGGTCTCCCGTTGCAGGCAGCAACCACGGTCTACATAATCGTGAGATGTAAGCTGGACGAGAGAGTGACGGCGGAAGCAGAATTTTCTCGCGAGGATTCTCCGTCGATCTGGGTGGAAGCCAAGCTGGAGAATGAGTACACCCTTTCGGTCAAAGCGCCCAGTGAGTAGCTCTGTTGATCTCTGGAAATCAGGCTTGGTGTTGAGAACGCTGCTCGCTCTCGCTTGCTTTTTCCTTTCCCGTCTTCCCCGAGCCGCTGAGAACACAGGGACACCTGCCCCGGGGCATGGCGCTCACAGTCTATGGAAATGAAAGGGAAGTTGCAGAAACGTTTATGGATGATGATCAGGCACTTGGCAGATGACCGTGTTTCCGATGATAAAGTCAATAGACTAAAACCCTTTTGAAACGAGAGCGGTGGCGGACGAGTCACTTCACAGGCGCCTACCTGCCTCGGTCATGTCGGACGCTCCGTGGTGCTCTCTTTTTCTGTGTATAGTCAGGCGCTGCGGATTCCTTCCCTACCACGTCAGCATTCACGTCATCATAAGGACTTACAACTTTCTGGGCCATGCCATATTTTTAAAATTTCAGAATGAACGTAAGCTCAATGCAGAAAATTTGAATGACACAGTAAGCAGAAAGTAACCAGTGAATAGAAAATTCCTCACCCGCCCTCCCTGCAAAGGAAATCAACGGTTTCCTGTCTGTTTCCATATCTGTGGACAGCTTCAGACTTGCTGGTTGACCTCTTGTTACCTGGGGTACGCGGTGAGAATTTTCCCCTTCGTAAAGATTCTTTTCCAGCTCACTGCCTTCAAGTCCGTTCTGACTCATGGGGACCTTGTAGGGCGGGGTGCCGTCGCTCCTTCGGGTTTCTGAGAATGTCAGTCTTTCCAGGGGCGGAGCACCTCCATCTTTCTCTCCAGAAGTGGCTGCGGACTTAAAGTGCTGACCTCGCAGCTTCGCAGCCCAATTCCCAGTCCACGAATTCACCAGACTCTTTTCTTTTACGAGGTGATGCTTTGTGGTTGTAAGGGAATCCATTGTGTGGGCGTGCCATAAGGACTGAACCCGTCCCTAATGGTGCCCCCTGTACCTTAGACTCTCTCACGCCTCCGGTGCATAGAAGTAGCCTTTTGCCATTTTTCATTTCTTCCGTGTGTCTGTGTGTAATTTCTGGTTTTCTTATCACTCTGATGATGGTAATAATGAGCATCTCTCTCTGCATGAAGTTTGATTTTCTATTTGTTTCTTTAAATCATTTTATTGGGGGCACTTATAGCTCTCCTAACAACCCATACATCCATTGTGTCGAGCACATTTGTACATATGTTGCCATCATCCTTTACAAAACATTTTCTTCCTACTTGAGCCCTTGGTAGCAGCTCCTCATTTTTTTCCTCCCTTCCCCACCCACTTCCCCTCCCTCCGTCATGAACCCTTGATAATTTATAAATTATTATTATTTTCATATCTTGGACTGACCCTGTCTTCCTTCACCCATGTGACTGTCCCCTTTGGCAGTGGTGGTGGTGGGGTGACGGTTATATGCCAATCATTGTGATCTAGTCCCCCTTTCTCCCCACACCTTCCCCCTACTCTCCTGGTATTGCTACTCCTATTATTGTTCCTGAAGGTTTATCTGTCCTGGATCCCCTGTTTCCAGCTCTTATCTGTACCAGTGCACATGCTCTGGTCTAATCAGATTTGTAAGGTGTTGCTGGGGTCATGATAGTGGGGGGTGGGGTGGGAATGTTTGGTTTCCTTTTGCGTTTGGCCTTCTCTCCGTGGGACGGAAACCTTGAAAGGGGATCGTTGGTGAGGTTCTTGGAAAATAGAGCTCAGTGGCTTCCTGAAACAACACTCTCATCGAGCGTCTTTCCTCTGTCGTCACCAGTGCTCAGGGTGATGATGTTAAGTATTTAATTTTATTTTTTGCTAATTTGACAATTTAAAAAAAAGTAGTTCATTGTTCTAATTTGCACTTCTTTGATTACTAGTGAAGTTGAATGTTCCCCCCCACCCCCCATGTTCTCAACTTGCTGCATTTCCTCTTTTGTGAATTGAATCTTTGTGGTTGGTGTATTTTTAATTTCTTTTCTTTCCCCCTCAAAACCCCTTCCTGTGGCGGTGTTGAATCCTGCCCCAGGCTGAGCACGTAGTGAGGAGAGCAGCAGAGCGAGTGGATCCGTTCCACTGGCCCACCGAGGCCGAAACACCACTGCCACCGTCTGGGATCCCTCCCACCTTCTGGCCCCACGGAACCGACCTTCCTGGGTAGCAAGGAGGCACTAAAGTACAGTAGTACACTGTGTACCTCATTTCTGTGGTGTTTTTTTCCTTCTTCCGCTCAGACTTTTCGTCGGGGGATGTTTCTCTGGCGGTATATTCCAGGGACCTCATGGTGTGTGAAGCCACCATCAGCTATTATACTGACATGGAAGAAATTGGGAATTTATTGTCCAATGCCGCAAACCCTGTGGAGTTCATGTGCCAGGTAAGGGCAGGGACGGAAACCGGAGATTTCTGGGCGCGTAGCTGCTGCTTGCGGAAGGGAGTGTCTCCCTCCAATGTGACGGAGGGCAGCTCTCTGGACTTCCCAGCCAACCATCTTGGCTTTTTCATTCAGGCCTTCAAAATTGTGCCCTACAACACGGAGACCCTCGATAAACTGCTCACCGAGTCCCTGAAGAACAACATCCCAGCAAGCGGGCTGCACCTCTTTGGAATCAGCCAATTGGAAGAAGAGGACGCGATGACAAGTGAGCTGACAGCCAGCCCTCAGGAAACCGGCAGGGAGCTGGTGGCTGCCTGCTGGCTGCAGCATTTCGTCCTTGTCCCACACACATAGTTTCTGCTGGTCTCCTGTAGCCAGAGATGCTTAGATGCAAATCTCAATACTTGACCTCTTTGCCTGAAAGCCTCTTGGTTCCCACTTGCCCTCTAGTCAAAGTCCACCTTGTTGAAAAGCCCTGCCCAGGGGGCCTCACACTCCCTAGTCCCTCTCTTGTCTGTTCTATCTCCGTGGAAAGTATGCCTCAGGGAGATGCTGTCCTGTCTCTTGCTGCTCAACTCGTGCAAGTGCAGTATCTTCCTCCCCGTCCCTGCTCACGTCTCAGCTTAGGCCGTGCTTTCTCAGGGAGGCTTTCTCTGGCAGGTTTTATCCCCAGCACCTTTGGTGTCCCCAGTCCCCAGCTTTGTCAGTCTGCTTTGTTGGCTGTGAGCACTGGAGGACGGAGGCTAGGCCGGCGAGTGTCTGCCTCACTGTGGGCTCTGAACAGATGCTTCCTCTTGTGGACACAGGGCATGCTGGGAACGGGGAGAGGCCTGGTGCTCTGGACAAGATGCCTGTTATGGGGCTTCCGTGGATGATGCCCTTCACGCTGTGTCTGCACTGCACGGATGCTTCCCAAGGCTCTGGTGACCTGCTGCCTCAGTGCCTTCTTTCATAACCTAAGAGAAACACGACAAAGAAGCTTCCTTCCCTTCTAACCTTCTCTGGGGACTCTTGTCCCTGCTTCCCATTTTCCTGCTGTGGAATGCCCTCGCATCATTTCCAGAAGATAATAATATCCTCTATTCTTAAGCTTGGGGCTCAGGAGGAAGCATGTCATAGCCTAACATCCAAAGGCCCAGGGGACACCTTTAGATCAGCGGTTCTCAACCTGTGGGTCGCGCCCCCCTTTGGGGATCGAACAACCCTTTCGCAGGGATCGCCCGGTTCATAACAGTAGCAAGTTGACAGTGATGAAGTAGCAATGAAAATGATTTTATGGTTGGGGGTCACCACAATATGAGGAGCTGTCTGAAAGGGTTGCGGCATGAGGAAGGTTGAGAACCACTGCCCTAGATTCTTTGTTCTGGGGACCATATTGGGCTTGTCAAACAAACAAATCTATCTGTATCTATCTATCTATCTATCTGTCTGTCTGTCTGTCTGTCTGTCTGTCTGTCTATCCATCCATCCATCCATCCATCTATTTATCTATCTGTATCATTATTGAGCTTAGAAATAAACTTTTGTGGGGTTCGTGGGGAGGTTCTTCCACCACCTCTATAGCACAGGTCTATCTTCTTGGTCAAGTTTACCTGGCCAGCACTAGGTATCCGTATCCCATGATTCTCAGCAGTTCTTTGTTTCCCACAGCATTCAACACCTCTCCCAGCAAAGGACTTCAGTGACACTGCCTTGTTTGACCCTCCCAGGTGTCTTTGAGATTGTCTGTAAATATTTTTTCGTTCAAAGCTAAAGGCTTCAGAAGGATTAACCTACCCAGGATCCTTTAGCACATCTTTTTGACATTGGAGAGAGGAGCTAAGAGATGAACTTGTTTCTTTTTATAAGTACGGAACAAGCCTGCTCTGAAGCCTGCAGAGAAGGTCAGAACATGACTCTTGTCGGACATGGTGGTTTTCATGTAAGAGCTTAGAACGTCAGCACGTTTTCTATTAATAATATATTCTCAGGATTCCTGGATCCTTTTGGAGGAAGAAGGTAGGATGCCATTGATTAGATCTGCTAGTTATTTCAAATACCATCTCCTTTGCCATCCGAGGACATGATCTTCAGGGGTGCCTCCAAGGAATCGTCTAATGGTTGGTCAGCCAACCAACAAGCAGCGATTGATTGTCGACTCGGTGCCCTGCTGGGCTTGACAGCTTGGTCTCTGCGAACAAGAATGAGTGAGCGTGCTGACCATCCCTTTCATTTCCCTTGACATGGTTTTCAGATCAGAGGGATGAGGAGCTGCCCACCTTGTTGCATTTTGCTGCCAAGTATGGCTTGAAGAACCTCACCGCCTTGTTGCTCACCTGCCCGGGAGCCCTCCAGGCATACAGTGTGGCCAACAAGCACGGGCACTACCCCAACACCATCGCTGAGAAGCATGGCTTCAGGGACCTGCGGCAGTTCATCGACGAGTATGTGGTAAGGTCCAGGTGGGAATGGCCCCGGCTGGGGAGTGTGCAGGGAGTCCCTAGGGCTACCTTTTCACCTAGGATGTGGCCGGATTTCATGTCCAGGCTGTCCTCAGGTGCCTCTTGTGGCTGTCAACTGTACACGCGAGGTTAACAAAGGAGCCAGATAGACCTGGGTTTAAATCTCTCTGCACCAACACTTGTTAGTTACATGACTTTGGGAAAGTCACCGATCTTCTCACTCTGTGTCCTAACGTGCAGAAGGAAGGTCCTGATGGTTTTACTCATAGAGTCGGCTTGACGGTAAAACCTAATCATTGGACAGAGCACTGAGGGTCACTCTGAAAGCATTTACAGTAGCAGTTCTCAACCTGTGGGTCATGACCCCTTTGGGGGTCGAAGGACTCTTTCACAGGGATCGTCCTGATTCATAGCAGTAGCAAAATGGCAGTGATGAAGTAGCAACGAAAATAATTTTATGGTTGGGGGGGGGTCACCACAACATGAGGAACTGTATGAAAGGGTCGCGGCGTGAGGAAGGTGGAGAACCACTGAATTACAGAGACATTGCTAGAGTGATTCTGCTAAAGGTCCACGCCGATTTCATCATCCCTTTTCCATCCACCTTCAGGATCCCGGGGCTAGGTGCTCCAGTTATCTCGACCACCGTTGGGCTGTGTTAGGATTGATTCCTTCCAAAACGCACGATACGGTCATGCTCAGTATCTGAGGCATCGAGGAGGCTGGCTGTGCGGCTCAGCCTCTTTCAGCCCCTCTGCTGGGTCTGACCTTGGATAGCCTCAGCATGTTTGCACATCCAGTTTGGGCCCTAGGTCCTCCGTGGTGAAGGTGACCAGATTTGAACATTGGGAAAGCGGGTCACCATTGATAAAACTCATATCCTGGCTAAATAGCCACATAGCAGCCCAAAACCTATGTATACCCTAGCTTGTCATGCATTCTTTCCAAAAATTGGGACTTTTAAAATGCCGCGGGACGCGGGAAAAATTGTTAAAAATTGGGACTGTCCCACCAAGAGCGGGACGTCTGGTCACCTTACCCATGGCCCCTACCTAATGTATCCCTCTCTGAGCCAGCTCTCACTCCATGCCCAGTACTAGCACCACTGTCTTAGCGGTAGCAGCGTTTCCTAGCTGCAACACCCCCCTCGCCCGACTTACTGTCTGCACAGTACACAGAGGGCGTGTAAGAATGGCTCTGCCTCTACCACAGGTCTGTGGGACCCCCAAAAGAGCAGTGAGCGCCTCCCAGTCTTGTGCTTTCCAAACAGGTGAGCCTGACACTTCCCCCAGGAACTTAGTTCTCTGCTCTGTATTTGAAAATCCCCAAGTCAGTGTCTCCTCACCACACTTTCTCGTGGGTACCTTCCCAGAGCCGGGGAAGGTTGTTGTGTTTTGAACGAATAGAATAGCGGGAGTCCCTGCATGGCACACCACTGGCAGAAAAGGGGTTCCACAGCGCTGACAGTCGGGAATATTTACTTGGCTGTGCTGTGGACTCGCACACGTGTAGGACACAACATTTCGTTCCCATGCCAGCCTTTTGTATGGAGGGTATATTGCGCCCATCGCAATAACTCCTACTCTTAGAGTTGATTTGCTTGGCACATGCATGATTTCACGTGTTCCTCCTCACAGACCTTTGACGTTGGCACTGCCGTTACCCCATCACACACAGGGAAACTCACTTAGGAGTGTAACGACACGAGTCAGGGCGGAGTCGGTTGAGATTTGAACCCAGTTGCGAAAGCCAGGGCGTGTTTATCTTGCTGTATGTAACAGGGAAGAATAGAGATGTGTTTTCAGGTTTCCCTGGAGTCCATCTGGCCCACTGTTCTCATGCTGTCCTTGGCCTGGGACAGTCGTCACCTTCAGCCCTTGCATGTTCAGCCTTGGTGCCAAGAGATTGCCCCGACAGGTGGCACATCAAAGAGCTGTCCTGTTTCTTCTCTGCACGACTGAAAACCCAATAGCTCCTAGGCCCCGAGGCTCAGTCCTTCCTCGCTGCCCCCGGTCCCCTCCAGGAAACCGACTCAGAGTGTCGTTAGCAGGCCAGCTCTTTGAGGGCGAGGTGGACAGGAAAAAAATTGTGGGTTCATGCTGAAATAAGGATTGTGAAATATCAGTTTCTTACCGGGAAAGGTTGTATAGCTGTTTCGGAGAAGCCAGTCCTCTCAATTCCAACGCCCGGAGGCACTAGGACAGGGGGCAATCTTGACTTCAGGGCACACCATTCCAAAACAGGCATCAAGTGACGGGAGGAAGGAACGCGGAGGAACACTGGAGAAGCCCGCTGGTGGGAACGCAAGACGAGCGTACTGAGTTCCTGGGGAGCCTCTGTGCACCCACACGTGCAAGGCCACTGGACTGCAGCCCCGTTGAGCCCGTTTGAATTCTGCTGTGACCCATCAATACGCGTCACATTCTCTGGTGCCATTTCCTCGTTGAGAAACCAGCAGGGCAGTGGTTCTCAACCTTTTAATACAGCCGCAACCCTTTAATACAGCTTCTCATGTTGGCGACCCCCGTTCATAACATTATTTTTGTTGCTTCTTCCTAACTGTAATTTTGCTACTGTTATGAATTGGGCAACCCCTGTGAAAGGATCGTTCGGCTCCCAAAGGGCTTTTGACCCACAGGTTGAGAACCGCTGCACTGGAGTGTGATCACACCAAAAAAATCAAACCCACTGTGAATCAGGTCCCTTCTGACTCACGGTGACCCCAGGCACATAGGACGCGCTTGAGAGAATGGTACGATTCCCACCTGGGGTCACTGACCTTCTAATGAATGTCTCTTGAGTGTGTAAGTCTGTGCATAAGAAACTTAATCAGCAAGGTCAGTCATAAGGAGATTAAAACTAAGAGCGTAAGCAACTCTTACCACTGTCCATTTCCAGAGTGTTCTACCACCATCACCCGAAGCGCCTTGACGGTTGCAGTGCATCGCGAACGTAACTCATGTCCCCGAGCTGTGCCTGTAAAAAGCATGGAAATGGCAAGAGTCTTGTTACATATGTGGTTGTTAGCTGCCACGGAGTCGGCCCGATCACAGCGACCCTCTCACAACAGCACAAAACACTGCCCGGTCCGGCACCGTCCTCACAAGTGCTCCTATGAGCCCATGGATGCAGCCACTGTGCCAGTCCATCTCATTGAGGGCCTTGCTCTTTTCCCTCCGCCCTTCCACTCTGCAAGCAGAATGCCCTTCTGCAGGCACTGGTCTCTCCTGACAAGTGTCCAAAGTGTGTAAGACAAAGTCTGGCCATCCTTGTCTCTGAGCAGCACGCTGGCCTGCCTTCCTCCAGGACAGATTGGTTTGTCTTTTTAGCAGTGCATAGTCCTTTCCATATTCTTCTCCAGCTCCACACTTCAAATACATCAGTTCTTCTGCAGTCTCCCTTGTTCGATGCATTGGTACATAGATACACACATCTATATACACACGCACCATGTATACATACACCTATATACATACACGCACCATATATATACACACATATACATACACACATCTATACACACATCTACACACACACACACATATTCCAAACAAACACAATCCTGAAACAGAAGCAGCCTCGGGGAGGTTCCGGTCTCTGGGAACTACCAGCATGCACACACGATTGCCATCCTGCCCCGCTGACTCGCTTCTGCTCGCCACCGGCTCTGCTTGTCGGCCCAGCTCTGCCCAGAAAGCAGATTCTGAGTGTGCCTGAGGACCCTGCCTCCTCTTTCAGGAAACGGTGGACATGTTGAAGAGCCACATCAAGGAGGAACTGATGCAAGGGGAGGAGGCCGACGACGTGTACGAGACCATGGCCCACCTCTCCACAGACCTGCTCATGAAATGTTCCCTGAACCCGGGTTGCGATGAGGACCTCTATGAGTCCATGGCCACCTTTGCCCCCGCCGCCTCGGAAGACCTCTGTAAGTAGCTCAGCCCAGCCCTGTGCCGGTCTTTGTGCCAGCAAGCGACTTGCTTCATTCTTTGTGGTTGGGGGAAGTCCCTGCTTACCCCCGCCCCACCTCAGCGGGATGAGGATTCTGTTTGACACAAAGACATCTGTAGTCACGCGCGGTGCCAAGCAGAATCCTCCTCCAGACAGCCCCTGCCGGGCCTGCCACTGCTTATGTGAGGGCTGACGCCATGGTCTGGACACCAGAATGGATGGGGGCATCATCGCCTTGTGGTCTGAGACTACATCGGTGGCTTTCAATCCCGCCTGTCCCCACGTCCCCCTTTTGTGACAAGCATTTTGTAAGAGCTCCTTAAGACCCACCGGGAGGCTCATACTCTACCGTGTTAAGCCACTAAATACGCTGCCCTAATGGAAGCATGAATGAGAAACAGGGCGGAGGGAGTGCGCAGGCATGCCCACACGTGAAGACATCGTGCAAAGGGATGCAGACACTTAGCAGAATCGCTGCCCGGGCCACGGTCTCAGACGTGACCAGCACATCGAAGGCCTCAGTGACTCGGGTGCCACCAGCAGTGGTGGTGTCCGTGCCTGGATGCTTCTCATGAGCAAGCCACTGTTGATTGCCTCCTCGCCACTTTCCTCACGATTGAATTCCTGGAAAATGGAGCGTGTCTTGAGGCAAGGTAACAATAGCAACCGTGTCCCCGTGTGAAGCAGTGTACATTCTAGGCTTAGGCTATGACAGCAAGGCTTGTTTGTTTGGGGGAAGCTGAATTTACTGGGTTAATATGAAGTACACTGGTGCCCAATGTGCCCTCTCCCATGGCCTCGATAGCTCACAGCTTTTGTGCATATTGGCTCCTAGTCTTTTTTTCCAAGTGCAGACGTCATAGGGGATTTCCACATGCTCGTGGGACAAATCCCACCATCTTTTCATTCTGCTTTCCCACAAACGTTTTGAAGCCCTCGTGTCCATTTATCAAAACACTTGGCAGTCACACAGAAATGGATAACGTAGTTGACGAAACGCCGTATGAATCCGCCCTGCCAACCAATACAGCAGCAGTAACAGTTTGGTGGCCATATTTGTCCGTATCTTCTCTTGACTCTTCCGATCCGAAACAAAATATGTATACACATAGCTGTGTAGATATACATGTCTAATTATGTTACGTAAGCAATTTTTTTAAACGTACCTAGGGTATTTCTTAAGTCGGGGGCGTAAAGTACATGGTTTTGAAGACCTATCCCTTCCCTCCTCCCAGTTCTAAATGCCACTTGTGTCCCTGTACCATTGGCACAACCCAAACAGCCTCGTAGATTTTCAAAACATCCCCTAGAGGACAGTGGCTGGTGGTTTCCAACTGCCGAGCTTTAGTAAGAAGTTAGGCTGTGTTCATTCACTGGTTCACTCACTCACTTACCAGACAAGTATCTAGGGCCAGGCGCTGGGCCAGCTGCCAGCGCTCCACCCATCCAGCCCCAACCAGCCCTCTCCAGCCGGCTCAGAGGTCACCTGACCATGCTGGGAGCACGCTGCCCGTTTCATCTGGCATTTGGGAAAGGGTGGTGGGAGAAAGAGGAGGCTTTCGACTCCCATCCAGAGCTACAGTCCCAGAAACCCGCAGAGACAGTTGCGCACTGCCCTGTGGAGAGGCTGCGTATGGGTCGAGTCAACTCTGGCAGTGAATTTCACGGGTTCCCCTTTCTTCAGGAGGAATCCCAGACAGTCCCTCTGTAGGAAGACTGGCAGGGAAGTTTCCCCGCGTGAAATGGAGGGGTGGGGGAGCAGTGCTGGGTTCTGACCTGAGATTTTGAGTCTGCTCCAGTGTCTCCGGCCCTGAAGCCTGCGTGTGTGTACACATGCTCCCTCCTCCCCGTCTTTAGCTTCGATATGCTGCCACCAGGTGGTAGTGCTATGCCTTTTTACCAGACCTTGCGCTTTGCTCTCTGTTCGCTGAGGATTTTGTAGGTGAGCCTCCACAGATTTAAACCCTCCATCCCCACACCTTAACATTTAAGAAGCAAATGCCTTCGTGCGAGGTGAAGCTTATGCAAAGACTACAGCGAATCTCCTTTGGAAGGTTTACGCTGCCTCCAAATCTGTTCCCACTTGGTTCTTTTGTGCCTAACCTTGCCACCGTCAGAGACTGGTACAGGGGTCCTGATCGTCCTGTGGGATCGGTTATTAACTTCGGCGTTGAAAGCCTCACCCCGTGACGGGTCACGTCCCTGAGGCTCTGAGTACTCCGGCCGGCCGAAGGCACGTCCGGGCGTCCTTTGTCCAGTCTGTTTCCAAGGTCATCCGCTTGGTAGGTTGTGGTTCTGCTCTGATATCCCAAAGGCTCATCTTTCCTCTGTCAGGGGAAGGCAGGAAGGAAAAGGAGCAAGGCGTAGTGTCTTGTTTGCCACAGGAAACGTAAACTCTCAAGTCAACCCCAGAGGGCTGTTCTGCCTCTTGTTACCCATGGGTTGGACCCCTTTTCTTTTGAACCCCCGGTCCTCCCCTCACAGTTCTGAGGCCGGCTTTGTATATAGCAGGGGGCTGATTTCACCCGCGCTAACTTGCTGGCTCCCCTTAGCAACCTGCTTGGCAACTGCCGTCTCTGTAACATTATCTGGAGCCGTCAGGTTTCTTTACATGCGTTCTCTCATCACAGCCGCTCTCTGCGAGCTGGGCTCCCTCTGAGCTGGAGGCAAGGCCCAGCTGGCGGGCCATTTGTCCGCTAAAACACCAGGTGACCGAGTCACTGCTGCGTGCTTACCTGCCCCCTTACCCCGGCAGCTTCTGAGGCTCACTCCTCGTTGGTCTGCTATCCACCGCCACCCACCAGTAGAACCAAGGGTTAGGGGCAGTGGGGCTGCTTGGGTTGGAGGCAGGGCTGTCCCAGTCCTGTCCAGAGCATCACAGAGGAAGGGCCTGGCTCTGTACTGCCGTGCACTTCCCCTGAAGTGCTTCTTGGAAGCCTGTGGAATGAAGTGTTTTAAACCAGGCCTTCCGGTCATTTCATGCCAGCATGACTCCCTGATTATTCCATCCTGATCACCCCGGATCTTGTTAAAATGTAGATTCTGATTCAGTCCATCTATGGAAAAAAAAAATCACCTGGGGATCGATAGGAATCCCCTGAGTGTCTCCTTTGAAAAAAAGACACATTTCCCGATCAAGTTGGTTCCAGGTTGGAGAAGTGGTGGAAAGTACTGACTCAGGAAGCCCTAAACACGGGAAAAGCAGCGGTAAGGACCAGCCTAAACTGGATCCGTTCTGTTCTGACCCTTGAAGCAGGCGTGTTCGACTGGCCATGTCCTGAAGAACTGGGGACACGATGCACCCCACCATCTGCCCAGGACACCTTGTTCTGGACATGGGACACATCGCCACTGTGCTCATCCTGATCCACTTGCAAATGCATAAACACCAAATGCTTGTAAACATCCTTTGTATAGGCATAGCTTCCCTCTTACCTAAGTCGTAAAGGTGTAAAACCCCAACTATTCAGGGAGTCAGATCTGAGCATCCATCCTCCTTGCTCTGTGCAATAAACCCCTTGTTCTCTTAAAAAAGAAAGTATCTCTCGGGGATTTGTTAACAGCAGGTTCCGGAGCTGATACCAAGGGCTCAAGTAGATAGAAAATGTTTTGAAAAGGATGATGATAAATGTGCTTCACACAATGGATGGATGGATGGACTGTTATAAGATCGGTAAGGGCCTCCAATAAAATGATTAAAAAAACAAAAAGGGAGCTTCTGATTCTGGGCAGGAAATACAAATTCTTAGCTGAGGATCAACTTGGAAGATCGATTTTGTTGTTGTTTATCATTTTACTGGGAGCTCTTACAGATACTATAACAATCCATAATTCAATTAGATCAAGCATAATTGTACAATTGCTGCCACCATCATTTTCAAAACGTTTTCTTTCTTCTTGAACTCCTTGATATCAGCTCTCCAGGAAGATCGGTTTCAACATTACTCTACCCTGGTGGCACAGAGGTTAACGCTGAGCTGCCAACCCAAAGCGCAGCGGTTGAAATCCACCAGCAAGAGGGAGGAGATGAGCAATCTGCTCCTGTAAAGGTTACCATTGGAAGCCCAGTGGGCAGTTGTGCTCTGTCTGGAAGGGTGGCTATGGGTGGAACTCAGTGGCATTGTTCTCCGCTGTGTTGTAAGGTCGCCCCATGATCAGCACCACCCCCACCCGGCCCTCACCAGCGCTCGGCTCCAGCTGGACCTGCGTAGCCTTGAGCCCTGCTTTTCCCAGTCCTGTACATCTTTCACTCTGGGCTCGACTGGTTTACATGCGTCTCTTAACGGCCCGCCCCAGCCCGACTTCGAAGCTTGTCTTACAGCTTTTTGTCATCTCCAGTGCCTCGCTCTCGGGGCGACATGCAGTTGACACCCAACAGTGTCTCGAATGTGAAAGTACCAGAATGTGAAAGTACTAGAATATTGCATGGGGAGTGGTTTGCCAGCACTCTTATGTTCACTTTCCTGTGTCGTGCGCGGGACATCACGGGGTGGCAGGAGCGCCCTGTCCTGCCATGCCTCCATGCAGTCATTGGCTCTGCTGTTCCAGTCGCCCCAGTCAGCCTTCTCGTTTCTTGGCCTGCAGAATGGCACCCAGGTTCTTCACAGAGTCCACACAGCTCCACGTTCATGGGCTCGCTAGTTTCTACCTTCATGCGTGTGGGGGTTCACTCCTCTACTCGCTCATCCCACACACACTTCCTGGAGCCTTCGTCTGTCTCCATCAGTGTCCCAGGTGAGGAGTCGCCGGTGAACAAGGGACATGGCCCCGCCTTCAAGTATGTACATTCTAGTGGGAGAGCTGGCTGTGAAATCACACTGCCACCTCGTGACAGTGCCATGGAGGGAGAGGACCCAAGCCCCAAACCTCCTGTGAGTTGCCCGCTGAGGATCCTCTTTCAAACGTTCAAAAGCAAGGTCTCACGTTGACGACGTCAGTGTTATCAGTGACCTCCTAGGCACGCAGGAGCTGGACCGT